TTTCATTTGATGACGCTGGCTTCCTGAAATCCGGGCGGAAACTTTGAATACCGGCGGCTTCAAGCATTTGGTGCATTATCTGAAGTTGTTGGGGGGTTGTGTCCGTATGCCCTGGTGCGTATTTGTATGGAAAGCAGGGATCAAAAACGTTGTTTGTACTGGTGGTAGAAGATTCTTCCAATGATTCTGTTACTGCAGACGGAAGTTTTGAGCCAACCGGAACACCAATCAAAGTATCCATATGAAATCGAACTCAATCCTACAATTTTGGGTAATATGAAGCAATCAGATTGTTGATATGGGCTATAAGTTGTGCAATATGTAGACAAAGAACTTACTGCAGTTCGTCCACCACGATGTTTTGATTGTGGAGTACTCTGTCCGCCAGTCGCTCCAGCCTGCTTGTGTACGAATTGCATCAAATCTTTCAAATCTTTCTCAAGTGCTTCAACCTTCTTGTTACTTTGAATGAGAAGTATATGAAGTGTATGGAGATCTAATGGTGTACGGTTGGGACTGGTAGAAATTTGTGAGTTGGATGTTGTAGCGTACAAAGTGATGATATTGTCAAAAGCGAGTTTTGCTCAACAATCCATGTTTTGATGATCTTTTGATGCAAATATTTTACTCACGAGTCATTTGTGTTGTTCTCTTGAGGTAAATGAGTAGATGAAGTGGTTTTCTGAAAGGTTGGAGGCAAGGGAAGGTCATCATCCACCTCATCCATGTGACTGCTATCAGTATTGGAGTTGTTTGCATCTTCTTCTTCCGGGTGCCAATCAGAAATTGATGGAGTTGATAACTTCTCTTTAGCCTTTCCCTTGTCTCTAGTTTGTTTTGGAGGAGATAGAGTGCATGAGAGAATTGTTGGCTTTGGTCGAGGAAATAACAAACGGCGGTGCTCCAGGCTGGGAAGGAACAAGGTTGAAGGGCTAGCTTCAGATATACTGGTGTTTGTGATGTATGTTATGGGCTGGTTTGAAGATGATGGGACGGTCACTGAATGAATAAAACAAATGTAGTTGATTTTCAAACACAACTGAACAAGTATGCACATATTGGTTTAAACTCACGCTCGTGAATAGGTTGAAGAGTGTGCCTTTCCGCCGGAGTTTCAAATGAGCAGTCAAAGCTTCTTGACATCCTCCCTTTACCAAACTCTACCTGTATACACAGGGAACAATGACTGGACAAAAGAATGAGGTGAGTTTGAAGAATGGTGTTTGGATTAAAATTTGAGGAATACTTACTTAATTCAGCATAGGAGTTGCAATTGTTCAATAGATCGTTCCGTTCAAAACCATTTGTATCTAGTCCTACTGTCTCAAGCATGTCGGTCAGTTGCGCGTCGTTGAACATAGTGAAGTCGGTATTTTGGTTGGAGGATTCGGCGATGGTGGATACAACTTCATTGCGGGTCACAGTTGGTGTTGGTTTCTCAACTTGCTTCTTTCGACGAGACGGCCGGGTTGAAACACGGGGTTTTTTTATTGTGACATGCTCGTCAAGCATCTCAAGCAACCTTTCACGAGTCCTTTTGTGATTTGCTTTCAATGGCTTGATGTTGATGTTTTCATTCTCCGAAGCTGAACCCCCAAAAAAAGTCAGTAAGTGGTTTAGTGAGAATGGACGTCCAAGATTACAGGTACGCACCAGGTTCTGATGCCAGTTCTGATGCTGAACTGATTTGGTCTTTTTTCTTGACTCAATGGCTTCCTTTCACATCTTTCTTGCGATCTTTCTTGCGACCAGCGGAAGGAGCAGCAGAAGAAGAATGAGTGGCAGGAACATCAGCAGTGGAAGGAGCGGTGAGAGCTGGCAGATCAGAACCTCGACTCAGGAGAATACGGGCGCTTGGAAGGAGCGTAGTGCGTTTTGGTGGCATCATAAATTTAGACAAGAAGTGTTAATTATGTGAATAACAAAATTGGGAGAGGATAGCACAAGTGGGGGGTAGTAGTGAAGGTGAAATTATCTTTTCAAATCCGATGAGCTCGAATATATATACAAGTTCAAAGAGAAAAATATGTTGTGCGATGCGCTATAGATGATTACTATGCAATCCTTTGTGTGATGTCTCCAAAGTGACAGTGCGGTCTATTGTGAGCCTTTCATTACTTTCGTGGAGATATTTTGTGATCCTTTCATCGATTCTGTACCCAGTGGATACCATATGGATACCGCAAGAAACTTGGAAACCAAACTGTGGTACAATATTCAGCTGACCAGCGTCCAAAAGGGTACCTACTACCAATGCACGCCAAGCTCTGCTGGTTGTACCACATGATCATGACCTCGTGATAGCACATCAAAGATTTCTAATATATGTGATTCAAGTGATCAAAGAAGCCAGATCTCGGGCATGATCATGCCGAGTTTGTGTTTCTTTCAAATCATCATAAGCTCTTTGTGCTTTGATACAAAAAGGTTCTAATCTTAATAATTGAATGTTTTTATTGGATGATCACGGTTTTTATATATGAAGGAAACTAAGAAAGTTCACAAGTCAAGATTTTGAAAACGCTCCCTTGAGCTTTATTAGCAAAGATATATGTAAAATCAAATAAAAGTTATATATAAATATGATTTAACAAGTCTATCAAACTTGAAGTAATAAGCAGAGGGGCAGTTGAGCAAGTTGGGCTGTTGCATCACTTGCAAGTTGAAGATATATCTTGATGAGTAAATTGAGTCCATCAAGCGTGACTTGATGCTTTTGACAGTTCACTTTGACCATTTGATTTATGTAGCTCACGATACAATATCAACAAAGTTACCGATGAGTTTGAAGGGGGAGTTGTGAGTGACATGAGACTTACACTCACAACTTCAAAGGAGGCAAACTTCTTCGATGATACTTTACATGTGTAACAAAAAAAGGGAGGGAGTTGAGATAGAATGTTGGCCTCTGAATGACAGCACGCCTCATCCAAGTGAACTTAATGAGTAAAGAAATGAGACAAGTCACAACACCGGTTGAAAATCTACTCCAAGTAGCAAAAACTGACAAGACTTCTGATAATGATGAAAGATACAACTCGTTGATATATTGAACTAGACATATAAGAGGTTATGATCTTGTGTATGATGACATTTCAATCAGATAAAGGAGAGTCATTGTCACATGAATCAGGGGTTTCCTGACTTTCATCATCCTCATCCTCAGACTCGGAATTGTATAGCTCCTCGATTTTAATGTTACTGTGGGGCCCTAAAATCTTCCTGAGAACTCTCTCATGTGCCTTGATATTTATGTGAGCTGAGTCCAGGTCGTGCTGTAGATCAGTTGCATTGACGTTGTAGAACTTATAACCCAACAAGGGTTATACAGAGCTGGAAGAGGATAATCTACTAATATAATGACTAGTAGAAGTTGTCTAAGGACTGCTCTTCTAAAACAACACAATCAGAAAGAGCTCTGTTGTATTGAGTACTGATAAGGCACCAGAGAAATGTATCTTCACACGTATTTAAACTTCAAAAAGCACACTTTGTATTACTATCAACACTGCTATAGTGTTATTCCCAATTGATAACTAAAGAAAATAAGCAATATCTGATTGATATTATTCCCAATAAGTCTTTATGACTATGATACTAAAGTAAATTTCTCTTTATAGCTGTAATAAAGGGTGTATTTAAGTGACCAGGTACTATTAAAATAAGTTTATGATGATAAACAAAATAATAATGGCGTAAATGATAAAGAAAAAAGGGGAACAACAGTCCCAAAACCCTCTCAAAGTATATATAACAATGTACTAGAACTTTTACAATGGTCAACGGCCTCAAAACCAATCAAATCCGCCCAAAATTCCCTAAAAACCCTATGATGACGCAATGTAATGATTTTGTTACTAATAAGTGATGTAATTTTCACAGCTAAAAGTGATCAATGACGCAATAATATGATGTACAGCACTTCTTATGATGAATACAGGTGATTTTTTCCTTGTAAACTAGCTGAAAACCAATTTTTGAGATTACAAATTTTTTCAGATGTGCTCCAATTTGTGATTACTAAAGTGCATCTTATAGCCCACGTGCTACTGATCATTTCTGACACCTACATGACCTACTTCTGATGAGTGATGAGTAAGATATTGAGTTGTGAAGTTAAGGTTTTTGGTGTTACATGTGACTTGTGACTGTAAATTCGAGATTCACACCAATTCTTTATTTGCCTTATAACTTTTTACACACACCTCCGTTACTAATGATTTAAAGTTTGTACATCATGTAATCCACTCTTCTGCGTTGAATGAGCCATCTACCAACCTATTCTGACGTCATTTGGCATATGTAATCAGCTGAAAACCTCCATTTTCCACGAATTTCACCCATTTTCTTCACTTTTCACAGCTACTACTCTCTTTTTTCTTGCTCATGTAATATGACATCATCATCTATAACCTTAAAAATCCCGGAAAATCCTCTTGGCAACCTTAAATTCCATCACTACCACTATTACACATCCAAACTACACGTGTACCTCTTGTTTACCAACTTCGAAAAAGTACCTTTTCCCTAATAACTTTTGTTTCTGCTTATCAACCTTGAAGATTAAAATTGTCATAGTATAATATAATGTTGTTCTTTCATATTCTAACCTCATAATACCCATAACTTTATTTTTACTAACCTAAAAACCATTTTCCAACTTTTATACCTATATTTTTGAATTTTTCTTATGTTTTTCTTTCTTTCTTTTTGAAATAAGTTTGTAAGTAAACTATAATGATCTTATGTATAATGTGAAATAAAAATGATGTAATGTTGACCTAATGACCAATACATAAGCCTACAAGAGCTTCAATTGATCAAAAACCTCCATTTCGAATTTTCTTTCCTGCTGAATCCTGCTAATAAACTGGTAAACTGGTAATTGTGAATTTTTTAATTGATCCCATAAATTGATCACCACAACGTCCATAGCTTCGAGTCTACTTTCAAGTCTGGCAATGTCATCCTGTGCTTGCTGCAGAAGAGACGAATGCTTCTCAATCACAGAAGCTTGAACAACCAACTAGGTCAGCTCAAAGTGATTTTAAGGAGGCTTGGAAGATGCATTAGACACAACATACCATTAACTTGTTCTTGTTGTAGATCTTGAAACAGACGGTTGCTGGCCTTTTGTTCTGCAATCACGAGGGAGCTCTCCAAAGACGCTAAGCGTTCCTCCAAACTTTGAACTGCATCACATCATATTCAGGAAGACGCAAGGTCAGCATACAGTCGAGATTGTATTATTGGAGGCTAACCTTTTTCTTCTCGTCTTTGCTCCTCTTGAATGACATCAACACCGGTTTTTGGTTTCGAAAGGTCTGCATGCATATTGATGCTTGGGATATCACGCCCAAATACTGGGAATGTTTTGAAGGTCAGCGTTTGTGAACCAGATAACAGAGATTTGATACCTACCAAGATTCCCCACTTCAAAGATTTCGGTATCTGAGAACTCGATGAGATCCACATTGTCGTTATGATGTGTGGCTGGATTTAGTTCTGGGACGACTGAAGTGGCTGTGGTCAACTCTTTTGAAGCATCGTGGGGAGGTGCATAGATGGATTGTTTGAGGGTTTCAAGTTCATGCCTCTCATCTTCATTGCTGACACTAGACAGCGTGGAGACATGCGCTGAAGGATCAGGAATACCATGTGGCCATTTAGAGACTTCTCGCTTTGCTGGTCGAGCCGCTTTGGTCTTTGATGGTTTTGCCTGTTGTGAAATTGGGATACCATATCAGTGATTCTGGAATTAGCGTACTTATAATTAGTCAACTTGTCATCGTACTTTTTTGTTTTGGAGTTGGATGCATTACTAGTTGCCTTTGCTTCAATCTTCACCTTGATAGTTTTTGCATCTGTTTCACCTTTGATAAAAAAGGGCTGCTATTAATATATACATATAGCTTTCAGACTTTACAAGAAGGACGTGTATATTCTAACTTACTGATACCAAGGCGCTTTGTTGGATAAGGAACTTCCAGATCTTGAGAAGCCAAGCGCTTTGGCAGTTGTTCCTTGGAAGACTTGGAAACGTCTGGTGACAAAACTCGAAGTTTTTCAAGTGCTGGAAGAGGATCAGCCACTTTAGTTGAGGCATTGGATAAATCGGGTACCTCCAAACGTTGAGAGGCCGAACTGTTTTTTGATTGTGCTTTGGCTTTGAAAGAGTTTATGACAACCGGAGACGTAACTTGAAGATGTTCAAGTGTTGGGTAGGCGTCAGGGCTTGCAGAGGTGTTGGCCAAAGCATTTGAGGCTGAATCGTGGAATACTGTTGACAAGGGCAAATCATCATTACTACGTAATCAACAACTATAAAGAAAAGAAAGACAAAAACTATTGGACTCACTGTGAGGCTGTACGCTTCGAACGATGTCGGCGACCTTGTCTTTGTTAGCCTTGGATCTTACCACAGTCTTGGGGTGATTGATACGAAGCCAGTCCAACATGATCTGTTTGTTAACAGGCGGGTTGTCTGGGTCAAGCACAGCATCCAAGTTACCTCGAATCGTGGGTTCCAACATGTTATATAGGTGAAGAATGGTTCGAGTTCAAACGCGCAAGAAGCAAGATGAAGAGTTATTATGAGGAAAGATAAGAGACAGATCCAGATCCGTCTTGAGGATGAAAGATTTATAAGGAAGAGCGGTGAAAAGTAATTCGTGATATAAGTATCACAAAATGATGAGGGTGAAGTAAAGATGAAAGCACACAGTGAATAACAGGTGATTGAAGTATGATATTCAAGATCCGTCATTGATGATGATCTGGAAGATAAGAGCCGCAAGGTGATGAGTGAAAAGGATTAAAGAAGACAAAGACGTCTGGATGAAAGAAATACGGAGAAGAGGAGAACAAGTATGAATCACAAAGGGTTGAGCCTGGTTGAGCGACATCATTCAGACTCGCTTGATGATCAGGGTACTCCCAGAGGCTTTTGTTCATGACTCACCTTAGCATGGAGTTTATTTGTTGATGTTGACATGTAATTATCACCAAGAGATCTGAGAGATAAGATAAATGCTATAATTATAATTTCTTTACGTATATATAAACTTATCCTTTTAATCATCACATTGAAATCTAAATGTTCTTTTTGGGATTTACCAACGTCAGATTGCATATAGTACATCATTGCCATCACCATATGCAGCAACCAAACATCGAGCCATTATAACCATTGGTTACACGATGAGATACACTTGTTTGATAGATGACTTGCCCCCTGCCCACAAATTGTTCTATCGTAGCAAACAACTGATGTTAATTCTGAGTGCCCCAATTTTTCTCTATGAAGCACAATAAACAAAGACAAATGAGTCAAGACATGACAGCATAGGGGTATCTTTTGTTTTTGATGAATCATCAACTCTCTGCTGAAGTTTCCACTTGACTCTTTATATTTCATATCATCGTGTCATTTTCCCATCTGCTTGATAAACCACCGTTATTGCATGAACTTCGTCGAAAGAGTCTTGGATCCCCATCTAAAGCACACTCTAGTTGACTCGTTCAGGTTTTGTAATTTTGTTCAGGTGCATATTTCTTGTCACGACCTCCCAGATCCATATTTTTTCAAACTCATTTTTTCAAATCGCTCAAATTGATGAATCCCTCCTCCTTTAGACTCCTGAAATGCCACCAGGTCGAAAACGTACACCCACTGCTTCCAACGGCTCACCGCTTGCTGAGACTGCTGGGCCTTCTGGACACAGTCGTAGTCCAACAGGTCCCTCTCATCCTTTGGCTCCTCCAACTTCACCTCTTGCAATGTCAGGCACCCATCATCTCAAACGACCACCCCTCAAAGACCCGATTTACGCAAAGGTTAAAGGTCTTTCAGAGAATCAGCGGCTCTTCCTTGTACACAACTTTGATAAAGTTAGCCATAAGCCTACCAAGTTACAATATTATGACTTCATACGCCTATTCAACCCCAAAACCAAAAGCCGCCCGAGTGATAAAAAAGAGTCCCTCAAAGCAGCCTACATTAAAGAGGTGCGACCCCTACTCAAATCACAAATCCTTCCGCCTGTTTCTACGACTATGGAGACCAATACCAAAGATGTGGATTTCGACCCCCTAGGCCGCAAGACCACCAAAAAAATGCTCATCGACGCCATTGAGAAGAAGGACCCGTATGCAATGATCCCAACTGGGGCGACTATTGATGATGTGTTGGTTTTGTATAAACACTATGTAGACCCCCAGCTCAACCTTCCAGTGAAGACACGATTCAACAAACGGCCTAGAACTATCCCTATGAGTCGTCTTAAGGGGGAAAGTATGGAGGATATTCTACTAGCTCTCCGTTACGCTGCCCCTTGTGTGTTTGTAAGATTGTTATCTATGAACAAGAGTACTCTCATGGATCTCTATATCAAGTTTGTCCATGACAAAACCCCTAGCAGTACCCTTATACTTGGATTTCACTATACCATCTTGGACCTCTCGGCCTCTGATTTTCCGGACTCAATGGACCACCGCAATGGACCACGATTTGAGATGTAAGTTTTGGTTTCAGCTTTGTCTTTTCCTCCAAACATGTGATCAGAACTTTCTATGCAGAAGATTGACCTCAAGCCTTCCAATTGTCAAACATTCAGGAAACTCATGTCCACGGTATTTATGTACCCATGCATGTGTGTGATCCACAAATACGTCACCAGGGGATTCTCACTATTACGCCTCTGATCGGTATTTCTGCCCTGTCCTATGTGTACTTTTAGCTTTCTCCCTTTCACCTGTCTTCAGCCTGACCCAAGCTAGAATCTTTCTCTTTTGGTAATCTGCTTTTGTGCAATGGCCGTCTTGTGAATCTGTCTCATCAATCCGAAAATCCATCCTATCACAACAATCAAAACAACATCATATCTTTCACATTGCGTGGTCTCTAATTTCTATTATATTTCTTTTCTTATACCCTAAAATCCAAAAAACTATTGTGACCGTTCTTTTATTGTCAGATCAGCTTTGAAATCAATCTTCTCAATTTCTTACTTTTAAAATTTCAATGCCTCCACGTAAAAGTCAAACCCACCAACCTCATCAAGTCGTGTGTGTATGTAAAGCATATGAATGTGGTGATCAAGAATACCCAGACACCAATGGCATCTACCACCCGGGTGTTGAAGTCTTACCAGAGACTCGCGCGGCTCACCAAAGAGCCGATCGTCGAAACAATTTACTCGAACCCACCAATAACATAAGTCACTCAATCCAAGGATCCACTCCTTCCGCTCAGGACGACCTGCTTTTGACATTAAATCAACTTCAGATAGGATCACCTCCCTCTTCCAGTCAAGATCATCAGATCCACCACGAAACTACTACTGATATTGATGAGAACTGCCCTCAGGAACACAATTCCCCCTCAACTCACAACCTAGATTCATTGTCAACTCACACAGCTCGACAGCCCACCGCAACATCTCAGTCTCCATCCAAAGAGTGCTCAAAGGCAGTCTTGGCAAAAGCGTCAGGTCAGCAGATTTTTAATTGTGGTGAGTGTTTTTCTAAAATCCCCGTAATCAAACTCCCAAATGAAGAACGCAACTGATGCTTGGGTCAATTATCACCTCCTAGACCATTTCCATAGTTTTGAAATGAGATTGATAAATCCTCTGATTCTTCATGTTGCTCTTACCACGGCCATTCTCGATATCTTTGGTAGATCTTCAAATTCAATCACAACATGGATTCTTGATGTACAGAGCATCACAATCAAAGTTTCAAGCACCTGGGGCATATTGCCCACCAAGTCTCAAGTCCATCAACTTATTCCCGAAGAGATCAAAACTATCAATCAAATTCCAGCATCAGTCAGCACGGCATTTGGATGGTTGAGACTTGATCCAATGCTTACCTACATGAATTGCTGTAATTCATGCTTCACAATGTATCCGGAGACTCGCGTGCCATCTCGATGCCATCATTGTATCTCAGCTATACCCGGTGGCCCTCCTGATTCTGTGAATCCTGTCAAACCGGTCAATCCAAACAATCCAACCAATGCTATTCCGCCTTCTTCAATGGCAGATCTTGAGCCAGATTTCTCAGAAAAGATTTGTGGCGCGCCTCTCTTGAAGTATGTGCGTGGCGAACAAAAACCGGTTTGGCTTTATGCCTTTCAAAGGCTTTCTGATTGGCTTCCACGACTTCTTGCTCGCCCTCATATTGAGAAACACCTTGATATCACCGCAGCCGAATCATCAAAGCCATATGATCCTAATGCTGAAATAAATGACATATATCAATCTCGAATTTGGAAAGAGTTTCGTGGATCTGATGGAGAGCAGTTTACAGCTGATTCTAGTAATTTGACATTTGCAATTTTTGTGGATGCAATAAATCCGTTTGGTAACAAACAAAGTGGACATCACACCTCAATCACCTTTGTTATATTAGTTTGCCTCAGCTTACCTCCTGACCTTCGTCATCAACCTGAAAATGTCTTCATCGTGGGAATTGCTCCTGGACCCCGTGAACCTTCTCTAGAGCAAATGAATTGGATTCTGCGACCACTTGTCACCGAACTTCAAGCTCTATGGTCACCTGGGTTACTTCTATCTCAAACTCATGAATACAAGAATGGCCGTCTTATCAAAGCTGCACTCTTGGTTTTTGTAGCTGATATTCCATCACTCCATCGCTGTCTAGGATTCCCAAGCGCTACCGCAACGTTCTTTTGCTCGTTTTGCCTCCTCACTAAGCAAGATATCAACAATCTCGATGAAACCACGTGGCCCCCGCGTACCTGGTGCCAGCACACCAAATGGGCATTTGAGGCTCGTGATGCAAAGACGGTCAAGGAACGAAAACGCATATTTAAGACGCATGGAGTCCGTTACTCGGTCCTTATAGAATTAGAATATTGGAACATTATTGAATATCATGTTGTAGATTCAATGCATAATCTACTTTTAGGTCTAGCTTCATGGCATGTTTGCTGTTTCTGGGCAATGAAAGACCTTCAAAACGAGGAAGAAAAAATCGAACCCATCAGTACTGCCGAACTTCTCAGGCTTGTAGCTGAGCACTCAGAGCCAATACCATACGATCAATCACCAGCTGAAAACCCTCAAAAGGGTCAGGACGAATCTGATGTTGCGTTCAATGATACTGATTTTGCTAATGACACATCTTCGAGTGACCCGGATTTTGATCCATTTGACGATGCTGGATGGCGAGGAGAATGGCACGCTCCGCCACTTGAAGAGATTGTCTTTGATGCATCTGTCCTTCGCCATATCAATTCCATTCTCCCAAAAATACATACTCCCACTTGGATCAAACGTCCAATCCTGGCTTTAGGAAAAGCAACCTTTGGAAAACTGAAAGCCGATGAGTGGAGAAGTCTCATAACAATCCAGCTTCCGCTCGTACTTATCCCAATGTGGTCAGGGCAGGATCATGTGAAAAAGTTGCTCCTCAAGAATTTCATCCATTTAGTTTCACTTATAAACTTAGGTCTCAAGCGCGTCATGAGCCCATCTCACATCAAAGGCTACCGTTATCATGTTTGGAAATATCTTGAAAGTTCCGTACTGATGTTTCAACACTGTAAATTGGCCCCAAATCATCATGTGTCTGTCCACCTTGCTGATTGTCTTGAGAGGTTTGGGCCGGTGCGCGCATGGTGGTCTTTTCCATTTGAGCGCTTGATGGGCAAGATACTGAAAGCAGGTCACAATAACCACATAAGTAAGTTATAGATATTGAAATAATTCAATCAGCATTTGCTAACCAACTATTGCTCAAACTTTTTGTTCCGAATCCAGCCGAGCTCGAAATAACTTTCCTCAAACAGTTTTGCCGCGCTTCAAATCTTCTAGCTCTCATTGAAGATGGAAAGCTACCAGATGCTCTCAACCAGTATACCTCAAGAATCCAGGCTTTATACAGGCCACTGGTTCGGCGATCAAACAAACTATCTCATTCTAAGCTTTCACCCCTATCTGATACTGTCCTCAACCTAATGATCAAGTACTTGAATGGTACAAAGAATGAAGGCTGTATTTGGCTTCGCCCCAATGATTGGGCTTTGCTTCCCACAAGTGAATCAATTGGCTACTCTCCTCTACAAGCTCAAGCACAATTTCACAAATGTGTCAAACACGGTGATGGATTTGTCTCAACTTTCACCAACAATCCAGACAACTGTTGTATACATTTCAAGAACTCTGAAAATACTGATGGTTTTGCTTGAGTGTTTTCTATTTTTTCTCATTCTCGAAGTTCAGTATCATCCAAGAACATCACTGATGTGTGGTTACATGTACATTGTTTTCCTCCTCTACCGGCTTCTCAACGTGATCCTTTCAGATTCCCTGGTCATGAAGAAGTACAGTGCGCTTTGCGACTGTGGAGTTCTACGACAAACAAGATTATAAAGCTTGATGAGGTAGTTGCCCAATGTACGTGGATCATGTACAAACCGGGCAAGATGTGCAGCTGGGTAGATCTACCTACAATAGGGATGATCATTCAAAGCCGCTAATTGTATGGAATGTAGTTATGACGATTCTTTTGTGTTTTATTGAAAGATTTGAGATTTTAAATAAAATCACCTCTTGTTGTTTACAACCAATTGAATATTTGAAACCTTTTATGGCATGTATTTGACAGTGTATTTGCCAGATAAGAGCACATTTTAACAAGGTATTACATGAGGTGACATGTGCGTGTGGGTACAGTAGAAAAGAGCCTCTCTGTATCACATCTCTCATTTTCTCATCAGAGGAGTTTAGAAAATTCACCATATTTTTTGGGCAAAAATCATTTTCTAAACTCCATGGTAAATTTTCATTTTGGTGTAGTGAAATATGAATGTCACATAAACCTAGAAGTTGTGGCAAGTATACGAGCGATAAAATATTTATTCAAATACATTTTAAAAGGTCATGACCAAGTACCTGAATCTCGCAATGAAGGTGAAGGAAGAGGATTGAGATCATTGGGACCGGGTGTTTGTTCACAATCACGTTGACTTAGCTTAGATTTGGAGCTCGAGTCTACCAGCAGTACACCTGAGGCTTCCAGCTCAGCAATTCGTAGTTCAAGCTCAGCTTGCTGTTCCAAACAACGATTAGATGTGAATTCAAAATGATGAGATAATAAAATCAAACTAGCTTCATCTGTATTTTTGAAAGTTGATTTGATTTTTATTTTTGATTTCAATATCATTTTCTTGATTGTCCTCATCTGCTCATTGGTTTTGTTGTTATTAATATTGAATGAATGAATTTAAAGGTGATTGAGTTTGAAGTTCAAGCCAGAGATTGAAAGCTTCTATGGGGACGATTATTTTGAAAAGTTTCTAAATGATTAACTTGGAGAAAGACGGGTTTGGTTTGGTGAGATGAAGTTGTGGGTTGGTGGATAGATTGATTGAGTTGGATATGAGCAGTCACCAAGTTTTCAAACAACTATGCCCAGGCTGAACGCCAAGCTCAAAGTGGCCAGGTTGCTGAAGATATTGGGTGTTATGTTACTTTCCGAGTATGAAATATACATATACTCATCATTCTTTATTTGATCAGCTTTGATTTGCCAAAGATCTATACCAGGCTGAGACCGGCAACAAATTTACCTTTGAACATTGCTGGGTGATTCTTAGAAACTCCAATAAATGGAAGGACTTACCACTAGACAATGGAGGAAAGCTTACATTGTCAAAGAAAAACCCTTGAAAACGGGCACTACCATCTTCCAACCTGACTTCCGCTGATGAATTGGTGATTGAACTGGACCAAGGCCAGAACAACAAGGGTGAATACTCTATGACCTCTCTTTCAACACGTCCAATAGGCACAAAAGCTGCAAAGAATGCCCAAAAAAGTCGTGATGAAGATTGCCTGTCTGCCAATTCTCAAATTGAGGACATCAACAAGTCCAATCAAGCACTGGCTGCTGCAAACGAGTCTAAGGCAGCGGCTCTGCGCGAACTCGCCGAGGTCAAGATTATGTCACAGGATCCTAAAGGTATGGAAGGAGACCGTCACAAGTACTACTTGATGAAACAGCGCGATGTGCTGGCTCGATACAAGGCCAGGTAAGATTCATTCCCCACTTTTCTCCTCTTAAAGTTGTGCTCAAGGTATCCATTTTTTTTGGCTCATTTAGCAAAAACTCTGGTGGCCAGATTTGAAAGGGAAAGTCTTTGTAAGAAAAGTTGTATTTCTCTCTCATTCATTTTGTACATGACATGCAAAATGAACAAAGTCCATATGAGAAAACAACTATGAAGCTCATCAGAGAATGAGATATAGAGCTAGATCATTTGAGTAAACAAACGCAACAGATCCAATGTTTAAAACCAAATCGATTGAGTGAAATACGAGCTTGATCTCTTTGAGTAGGAGATCTAAAAACAAGTAATCATTGTAAGAGACATTAGGAGTAAAGATTTGATCAGTTAAAAATCAGATTGATTCAGTACAATTCAGTATAGAAACAAACAATTCATACAAAAGGAAGATAGAATCGAATCAATCGATCTTCAAATATCTGATCCATTTGATCAATCATCAGCTCCAATGTGTAAGTTAAATTAGAATTTTTCAATGAATTAAGTTCTGAGTCAATAAACATGAGATACATCTAGATCTTTTGATGATTTTTCAAACCAAAACAAAATTATCTGGGTTGATCCCAATATTGCCATACATGAGCAATAAGATCAGACTTCAATAAGGACCAGGCGCACTTTGTCCAGATTTTTGCACTTCGTTAGCAGGTTTTCCACTGCTAGAGTGGTTTTTGAATCTGGGATCTGCAGAGGAACTCGGTTAGAGTGCAAGTGACATGCTACAGAGTGTCACTCGCTCACCTATCTAAAACCGTGCCCAATGTTTGAGATGTCCAATGATTAATTTTACCTTGGCCTGAATGATGATCTTGTGTTCTATCAAATTCAAGCTGCAAAGCTTTCCCTTTAAAAAGATTGAACAGAAACAAGTAAGATTCCGGAGCTCAAAAAATCATTACAAAATGGCTACCCCAACTGAGAAACAAGCAAACTAACCACATAGAGTTGGATTTTAGGAACTATTTGACTGAGGAGAGCGGACACAATTGGGCAAGCATATACACAATTCGAGCATGTGTGGCTTACATGCATTGCCACACCCGAGACCTTTCACAGAAAAGAACTCCCAAAACCCATGGCTCTTTGCTGTGATTTGACCTTGCAAAGTTCATGCGGGCAACAAAATTTGGACAGAAGGGCAAATAAAATCACTTTCAAAAGGCCAAAAACTGAATGTTTGACAGCGATGATGTCAAATAGTGAGACAATCAAAAGGTCCAGAAATCTGCCTTTTTGATTCTTTGCTATGCAGGGAGAGACATCCGGAGTAAGGGGTAGATGACCATCATACACTCATGATAGATGAATGGATGATGCCGTGCCTCACTGAAACTATGTGAGGCACGACAAGAAGAAAACAAGTATCTTGCTGTTCAGACTGTAAAGGACGTCTCAAAAGGACAATTGACCCAAATTTGAGACCAGAAAGTGAGAAAACGTGAAAAACAATGCAGAATAGTAATGAACAAGCCGGGAAATCTGTGCCTGGTCTCTAATTGGCTGTGGATCTGGCAGCAATGAACTCTACCAAATCTTCAAAGATAATCATTGCGAGAGTTTTCAGATACTGGTGGTCCTTGCGGACAAGCTTTGCAGTCTTGACGGAAAATATTCCAGATCGTGTGTTGATCTTTATCCCGCTCATCTTCAATTATCATGTTGTGCAGTATAATGCACGCTATCATGGTATTGATTAAGTCGGACTTGCACCATCCTTGTGCAGGCCCTCGGATGATGTGCCAGCGCCCTTGTAAAACACCAAAAGCTCGCTCCACATCCTTTTGAAACGCTTCTTGTATCTGAGCAAATGTCTTTATTGAATGGAAGTTCAAAGACATCAGTGTGCGCATTGGATCATTGGATTAATCATGATCAGGATGTGAGGTCACTTTGCAGCCTTCATCCATTGGGACAAGGAAGATGCCTCCATTGTTTATAGAAGATTTCATCCAATCACTATTGCTTGGACCTTGTTTTAAACCCCGAGGTCCAAAGAATCAAATCAATCCGAACAATGGCATTTGATGCTGCAGAGTATTGTTTAGTAGATACTGGTGTCTGAGATCCATTCAGGATCATTGTAGTAGTATTGAGTGACCACTTCTTGTGGGTATTGGGTATTTTGTCAAGCTGAGTCGTGCCTTCACGTTTTTTGAAATTTACAAGCAACTGAAGGTCAGCTGAATTCAAACTTGCTGCTGTTTTATCCACTGAAACAAAAGAAAGTAGAGTTAACCCTGGTTGGCTGTTGTGCACCACTCTATCTGATGCAGCACAACTCATGATCCGACTGCATTTTTCCAAACTCAGATTGCAAATCCAAGGTGAGTTGAAATCAAATGAATGCCTTTCAAGAATGCTCAGCTTTAAATGCTTATTCTTGCTGACCCTTGACCAAGCTATCCCCAAGCACATGTTGACATGGTATTCCTACATCTACCTTACAAATTGATCACGGCATTCTTGAATTGGTAGTACAAGTTCAACACCCCGTGTCCTTCTTGTCCTCCTTGTTATTTGAATCCATTTGTATATAGAGAGTCTGAATAGGAAACCCAGGATAAGCATTCATTGGAAAATGTCTCAATACACTTCTGCTTATCATTTTTTTGCACTTCTTTTTGTTGTCTGCTACAAAGTGTGAGACAAGTGTTAAGTACCTTCTTTGTCTTACTTGACCGTTATCTTTCTTCAAGACCTTACTACTAGAAATATCAATTTGATCTGCTCAATCATCGATTGGTTCTATCACCAAGTCTCTCCAAGTAAATATGATGGCAAAAGGCGTAAATGATTGGAAGGCTCCACATCTGCAAAATATAATCAGACATCCATTGACTTGTTGCATTACATTTAAAATCATTTTTCTGCTTTGGATCCTACGTGCAAATTGCACGTGTCATGATATACCAAAGTTTGTATTTGAGGACCACTTTTGTACTGCATCTTTGTCCTGCATAGTTGATGGAGCAGAAACACCAAAAAAGTCCACTGCAATCCAAAAAACGGAGTGTATGACCATTGGGGGCTACTGCAAGAATCAAATTTTGCTACCCATTTTGTTAAAACAAAACGAGAAAGATATGAATAGTAGGTGACTGACGGAAGATATCATCATT